TCGTAACTTGAAGCATTAGATACTAACTGCATGCTTTGAAAAATGAGGAATTCAATTCATTTACACCACGTCTCATACTCTCATATTTCTGCCAGCCACTTTTTTTAAATTCTGTAAGTTACATTAACATGTCTAAATTATGAATTTTTAGTCCTGAAACCATTGACTCTACATAATGTTTTGACCCATTAACTTTAGACAATATGTTAGGATGAGGAAATTAGTGCCCCTACATTTGCCTTAATATCTCCTCACAGCCTTCTAGCTCCTGCCTCCCATCTGCCCCTCATTCCAACATGTCATTAACTTTATATGCTCAATGTCAAGGTTTATAACATTCATATTAATGTTAAAACCATACTAAGGCTTCGTACTTTGCTTATAAGGTGATTCTAAACTGAGTCAATAGCTAGCATTAACAACACATGATTATGTATATACTATTCACTGCAGGCCGTGAAGTGTATAATTGGACCAGCAGAGAAAACACTGTAATACTAAATCACTAAACCTGTTCTGCTCAAAGGAAAAAGTAATTATCAAAACCTTAGAGGAGTAGAAATAGAGCAGCAGCATATTTCAAATATATATACATAATAATTAAACCATATACTTTCACTGTATTAGTAGGATCACTCAGTGTCTTCATCTCTCTGTTGGTTGAAGGATATCATTTTCTTCTTGGACATATTTTCCAGGGGTCTTTCGACTCCACGTTTTATTGTGGACTAACTTATTTCCATACCTACTGCATCTTTTTCATCCTGGGATTTCTTTTTATTGTATTCCTGGGTTGTGTCCACTTTTTCTTACATCCATGTCTGCGATTTTCTTAGATTTTTTTAATTAAATGTTTGAGGTTAAGATAATTATAGATTTATATGCAGTTGTAAGAAATAATACAGAGAGATCCCAGGTACCCTGTACCAAGTTTAACCCAGTGGTAACATATTACAAAACTAGAATGCAGTATCAAAACCAGCATCCTGACATTAACACAGTTAAGGTTCACCACATTTCCCATCAACACAAAGATCCTTCATGTTGCCCTTTTATGGTCGCACTCTTCTCTCCCACCTTAACCTGTGGCAGCTAGTAAGCTGTTCTCCATTTCTGTAATTTGGTCATTTTAAGCATGTTATACAAATGGAGTCATACAGTATGTAACCTTTTGGAATTTGATTTTTTTACAGTCAGCATACTTTTCTAAGTATATATCCACAGTTTGATCATTTTTGTTGTTGAATAGTGTTTCATGGTATCTATGTATCAGTCTTGTGTCATTATTTATAACATTAGCTGTAGATTTTGTGTAGATGGTCTTTATCAGGTTAAGTTCCCTTCTCTTTACGTTTT